CAAATAAAAACCTCACTGCTGCTAACTGTCATACAGTTAATCTGCTATTTGATAAATATTTCTCAACAAGATTGTTGCGAAATTTTCAAAATTTAAGTATACAGACTTAATAGAAATACTTGATGGTTTTCAAGATGAAATAAAAAGGATAGCGTATTCTAAAAATGAACTTTTGATGATAATTCACTGCATGAAAAGTAATGACATTTTGTAAACAATTTAGGCACTATAATAAAGAACTTTAGAAAACTACTTTATTATATTGTACGCGTTTCTGGAGACACTTTCTAAAGTTTGCCTTTAACTCTTGCTACATTTTTGGCGTTTGCTCATTTCTCAGCTTGCCTGCTTCCAAAAAATACCTAATGTCTCTACAAGTTAATATCTTAAAGTAGTGATATGATAACTATTTCAAGTAATTCCAGAAAAAAATCTGCAAACAAGACTTTAAACAGAAGATACGTAATACTATAAATGTTATTTGAATAGAAGACACCTAATGCTATTAATGTTAATTTAACAACATTTGAAAGTCCTTTAGTAATGGAATAAAGCAAAGTAGACATGCTGCTTACAAAATTATGTGCTCTCAAGATTATTTGAAACAAAATTTCAAATCTTTTTCCTATAACAAAAAAAAATAGTTTTTAAGCTAGTTTTTTTGATAATGGCTTAGAAACGGTCACTTTTCTGAGATTTTTCTGTTCGGCTTTGAAAAGTTCTAGAAGCTTAGTGGGAGAGATTAAATTAAAAGCATTGTTAAATTTATTACATTTGAAATTAAAACCTATGTCAACAGAAATCATAATTAGTGCAATACTTTTAATAAGTTGTGTTTCTTCTTTTCTAAATGAGTAAAGATATCATGAAAACGCAATAAACCAAAAAGAAAAAAAATATCTAATTTGATCTCAGAGAAGCTCTTAAAATTATCGGCAAGGGTATGTTCATAAGGAATTTTCTCGCGCCTTTCCGCATGCCTCGTGCTATACACAGAAGCACGCTCTACGCGTATTCGGGAGGTTCGGAGTTCGAATCCTGACTAAAGCATTGTACATTCTTCATGTTCCTGCATCGAAATGACCTAATAGCTCTCAAAGTGGCTCCCGAATTAAAAGACTGTGGACAATAATTCGTCACTACCAGTATTTGGCGATTGGGTCTCCCAGTTGCCTTTTGAAAAGGGGAAGTATATAAAGTATTTTCTCCCTTCTTTCCTCGTGTTTTCTTGGTGTAACTGGAAGGACGCTGGAAGCGTATTCCGGGGGTCCGGAGTTTGAATCTTGGGCAGGACAATATACATTTTCCAAAATTTCTTTTCAATTTGCAGACAAATTAGAACGATATTTTTGCAGTGAAAATATCTTTGATGAATAATGGGAAAAACTTAAGGACAGCATTTTTGCTCATGACATGCGTTTTAAATTTCTAAAAGGAAAAGCAGGAAATAAATTTTCGTTTTGTTAATTTCAAAATAATACGTTGTTAGCACTGTTACAAGAGATGAAGAGGAAACTTCTTTAAATTCTTTCTATTTGGTAACCAGAAAAGTATTTCTAAAGCCACACTATTTTGTCAATCGGTATTTAAATATAATTTCAACCAGGGTTTAAAGTCTGAGTATGGATCGCAAAACAAAGAAACTTATTAGTAACCCTAATCCTGAGTAATATTTTATTTTGGTGTAGGAAACCGAAAACAGATAGGATTAGACGGCGGTAAAACTAAATAATAAACTTTTATACTTGCTACTCAGCAGCTCTGTATCAGCGAACAAAATTAGAATCACTGGCAGGGCTTAAACAAACTGATATGCACCATCTCCAAGCAGACCAGCTGCTCTCTCAATGGAGTAGAGTAAAGTAAAAGTAAAGTATGTTAGCTTTATTACAAAAGATAAGAGGAATAGAATGAGGTTATATTCTCGTGAACTAATCTTCTGTATTATATTTTACAATAACTAATCTGTTCTAAGATAAGAGATTTAATTTTAGTTTAAAACAGATTTTGTGTTAAAAACTCTTATGATTTCTAAAAATTCTGAAAATTCTTATGGTAAAATTAGTTTCCAACTAAAATTCTGACATCAATGAAATACTGAAACAGCAGTAATCTCTGAAAAAATATTACTCCCATAAAAATGGAAGAGACAATTATGAATAATTACTTTCACGAACTCAAGATCTTTTAGACCCTACAAAGTACAGTGCTGTATATTCAAATTTAACTCTGACTGTAAATTTGGCTGCAATAAAAATATACACATATTAGGCAAAATTTTTCCTGCAGATTCAAATTCAACTTTTATAATAAATTTGACTACAATATGAACTATTTTCTGCTAATTAATACTGAGGGAAATTCTTGCTGGAGATACATATTCAATGTTTACAATAAATTCGGCTGTAATACAAGTTACTTTCCAATAAAATAAGTATTGTGCAAAAATCATCACCTGCTTCTTAGCTTTATAAGAATGCAAACGCTAGATTATGCCTATCCTGAAGTTTGTGTTACACAAATAAATGAGTACCTGGTTTCATTAACTTGCAGATCAAGGTACTGGGCAAGGTACTATATTTCCGGATATATCTGTTTTTATTTGTTTCTCGGCCAATAGACTGGATGCTCGGAACAGAAGAGCCACATTTTCGATTCAGCGTGATGTACAAGCTTGGGATGAGCTACTTGCCTTGTAGAGGAACGTAGTTTAGTTATGCTATAATGTTAGGTTTCCTTCTTTCCTTGTAGCTGACCATTATAATTTATCAAATATTATCATACACTATAGTTTTATACAACGGACTGTGCTCACTGAATGCATTCACTTCTATGATTTGTGCTCTTCATGTTAGAAAATTGTTGGTTTGGTTAGGTTAGGCTAGGCTATTTTGAATATGTCAAAGCACACGAGAGATATTTATCTAAGATGAGAAGTGCCTTCGTAAAGGGCTTTCTAAGAGAAGCTTGCTCATAAACACGCTCGCTATGCATGGAGAAAACCACGAAAACCAGCCATGCATCCTGAGCTCGAACCAAGGAGGAGTTAATAGTTTAAGGCTGCCTTTAACCTCTCGACCAATGGCGGGGCGGAAATAGATGGGTTAATGAAAGTTTTAAAACTGAACGTATTGAACTGAGTATGACAAAGCACACGAGGGCTGTTTACCTTAAGGGGAATATACCTTCATGGAAGATTTTCTAAGGATAATTGATTCGTATTAAAAAAATGTGTTGACAAATATTAACTTCTGAGTAAGCATATTGAACGGTATATAAAAGGTCAACAAATACAAGGCTTAATACATATTCATGTACTTAAATTTCTATATCTTAATTTAAACGATTTTTATTTTACTTAAAGATATAATTTATGAATGGTGTCTGTTTTACTGATGTATATGTCTGTTTTACTGATATATATTTATATAATTATTTATACACTGATGGCAAAAAGTCCCAACACCAAGAAGATATTATTGTAGAAAAATGAAATTTTGACAATACATTTGTCTATGAAACATATTTAATAGATTAAGTTTTCAAGATCACGGGTTAATGCAAGCGCGAGAAGAGCCATTTTAAATGTGAAACGCTGGTACATCAATAACTTGTGTAACCGCCAGAATTTTGAATGCAACTGTGCCGTAGAGGTACCGGATGTCAGTTTGTGGGATGGAGTTCCATACCTGTTGTACTTGGTCGGTCAATACAGGGAGTTAATGCTGGTTGGATAACGCTGGAGTTGTCTCCAATAATATCCCATACGTGCTCGATTGGAGAAAGATCTGTGATCTAGCAGGCCAAGGCAATATGTCGACCCTTTGTAGAGCATGTTGTGTTACAGTAGTGGTAGGAAGGCGAGAGTTATCCTGTTCGAAAACACCTCTTTGAATGTTGTTCACGAATGGCAACAGAACAGGCTGAATCACAAGACTGACGTATAAATTTGCAATCAGGGTGCGCGGAATAACCACGAGAGTGCTCCTGCTGCCATACGAATTAGCTTTTCCGACTCCAGGTGTAGGTCCAGAGTGGCTAGGCTGTAGGTCCAGTGTATCTATGCCGCGCTTACCTGCCTCCTTCTAACCAACTTACGGCCATCACTAGCACCCAAGGCAGAATCGGCTTTCATCAGAAAACACAACAGATCTCCACTCCGTTCTCCAATGAGCTCTAGCTTGACACCAATGACATCGCAAACGGAAGTGGTTGCGACTCAATGGAATCACGTTACAGAACATCTGGCTCGGAGTTGTCCTTCAAGTAACCGATTTGTAACTGTTCGCTGTGTCTCTTTGGTACCAACTGCTGCTCGAATTTCTGCTGCTGACGCAGTACGATACGCCACAGCCATGCGCCGAATACGACGGTCTTCCCTCTCAATAGAGCACGTTTTTTGGCCGCCCAAAACCCAGTCTTCTTCAGCCCGCACCTTCCTTTGATCGCTGCTGCCACCAGTCATGCACAGTAGATACATTTCTGCCAAGTCTTTTTGCAATATCGCAAAAAGAAAATCCACCTTCTCGTAGTCTTATTACACGAACTCGTTCAAACTCACTGAGCTGTGGATAATGACTTCCTTGTCTTCTTAAAAACATTCTTGACTAAAATCAACTCACTAAGTCAAATTTCAAAGATAAATAGCATTCATAAACTTTACAGCGCGTATTTTAAAGCAGACCACCTTATTTATATGCTCATAGTGGCGCTATTATCGTACATTTATGCCCCTAGTGCGAAATTTGAATAGACATCGCATTTCAAATATATAAATATGCCTACCAAATTTCGTTTATCTAGCACACCTCCTTCTTGGTGTTGGGATTTTTTTTCTGTCAGTGTGTTAATACAGTGTGTAGACAAACATAGAAAATATCCTGCGTTATAAGCATGTTAAAAAACTTTCATCGAAAGAAACAAGTTCACAGTGGATTTCCAATTCCAGATGTGCTTTAAATTTATGATTACATCTTTTCAAAGCTATTTTCCATCGTTAGGTTGGGATTACTACCTAGAAGACGTCTGGTGGCCTAGATTTCGTCAGCAGCAAAAACGGAGAGGATCAGGAGACAGTTCAGAGAATGAATTATGCCGAACAGTTCCCACAGAATATTACTCTCGACATCAGATGCTCAGAACAGAAAGTGGGTACCATTCAATAATTTTCTGCATTTTTTCTTCATTTATACGCACAGTTTTGTATTTTCTTTTACATCTGTGAAATGCTTAATTTTCAAACGGCCGTATACCTTTTCACATCTTTACACATATTTCTTTGTTTTCTACTTTCTAAGCATTTTCGTTTCGTACATGAATAGTTTTGATCAAAGCTTAGTGGCCTACCACATTTAGCCTACCACAGCGGTTTAAAATAGAAGGTATTCAATACAATTCATTCTTTTCACTTCTTGTGTTCCATTTGTTCAATTGTAACGTCACTAATAAAAGTTGTAAATCCAAGTTAATTAAAGGTTTTGGTTTATTTACACTGCTCAAAACAATTAAAGGATATTGTAAGTTTTATATAAAATAAAGATCTAAGCGAATTTTTTTTTTTTTTTTTTTTTTTTTTTTTTTTTTTTTTTTTTTCCAAAAATGGAAGAAGAGAATCACAAATTAAAATTTTTCTGGTTTTCAAACTGTGGAGTATGCTAATTTTGAGTTCGACGTCTAAAACATCGCTTCAGAGGCAGCGAATGAAATTTGACTTTCAACTGAACAAAAAAGATAATGAAGATAAGGATGATCGGCACTCAGTGAACTCCTTGCTTTCGATGAGTACGATGTCTCAGCGAAGTCATTTAACCGATTCAGAAGCTTGGAGAATTGTTGGTAGATTAGAAGGGGGTCAAACTCAAGCCGAAGTAGCGCAAGCCATTGGAGTGTCACAAAGTGTGATTTCCAGGATCTGGAACCGTTTTTTAGAAACTGGAAGTGCAGACCGAAGACCAGGGCAAGGTCGTAGACGGGCAACAACGCCCAATGAAGATCGTTATTTAGTGTTAACGACTCGGAGACACCGAAATATAAATGCTACTCTTCTCCAACAACACCTTCGCTCGGCTACTGGCACCACGGTTTCAACTCAGACTGTCCGAAACCGACTCCATGGTGTAGGTATGTATGCTCGCCAACCGATGATATGCGTTAGACTAACATCAAGGCATCGTCGCGAACGCATGGAGTGAGCAACAGAGCATGTGAACTGGAGGAGAAATGAATGGAGCAATGTTCTTTTTTCTGACGAGTCCCGTTTTTCCGTTCATCCTGATAATAGGCGTATTTTCATCTGGAGGGACCGTGGCAGTAGGAATAATCCTGCGTTCGTGCACGAAAGTGTCAGATTTGGCGGTGGGGGAGTGTTGGTGTATGGTGGAATCTCCATTGAAGGGCGCACAGACCTCTTCATCATTCGAGATGGACCTCTGACTGGTCGCCGATATCCTCAGACATATTGTAGTCCCTTACGCTGCAGCAATCGGAGATGACTTCATTTTAATGGACGATAACTGCAGGCCACATCGTGCTAACCTGGTGGAGGATTTCCTTTTCGAGGAAGGAATCGTACGAATGGAATGGCCAGCGTGTTCTCCAGACATGAATCCAATAGAGCACGTTTGGGACGCTCTAGGAAGACGAGTTGCTGGCCGCCAACCACCCCCACAAACTCTCCAAGAACTGAAAAGAGCTCTTCTGGAAGAGTGGGACAGAATACCCCAACTCGTGATTAATAGCCTCATTGACTCCATGCCTCAAAGTTGTTCAACGTTGCTGGCCGTCCGTGAAACCATACCCCCTACTGAAAATGATTTCCTTTGAAGAAAACACCTTTTCTTATTCTTTTTTTCTCATATGCTCAAATTGTGCTTTTTTCCTTTTGTACACAAATGCGCAATAAAATGCATTTTTTTCTTCCAAACATGTGTAATTTATTCTCATATAACCTACTACGTCTGTCGACCATGTATCAATCAGCTAAAAAGTTTCCCAGCCACAAGATCCACCTAAAACCGCAATATCCTTTAATTTTTTTTAGCAGTGTATTATAGCAATGCACTCGAGGGTTATCTGTCTTATAAGAGGGAACCGTTTGTGGAGGACTTTCTAAGGGAAACTGTGTCGTATACACGTAACACATGGGGAATCCACGTAAACGCCCATGCAACCAGTCCGTTCGCCGGGATTTGAACCCCGAATTGAACTACCAGTGTTAAGCGATTTTACCGCTCGGCCGCTAGTGGGTAGTTAAACTTCTTTCATGAAATTATAATATTTCATGAACAGTTTCAAATAATTGCTTTTTATCTTAACTCCACCAAAAATAAATATATGCAGAGTTTAAAATTACCTATAACAGTACAGTTGCTACATTTTGCTGAATTTAAGATGATACTATTTATTTTCTCCAGTACTCTATTCTTTTGAGTTATGATAGTGCATGTTCAAACCGCCGCATTTATTTTCACTTGACTTAGAATATTAGGTTAAGTCTAAACGACGGAAAAACATTTCAAATAGAGTATGTGCAATGGAAAGTGCATACTGCTACTTTACGAGTGCCGCGAAACACACCTAAACTGCCCAATCTGTGGATAGCAAAAAGTTAGATTTCCTGAATATGCATGGCAACTGTCAAAACTGGATAGATGTAGCAAACCTTAGGTCGTATATCTGGATCATGGTCCGCGTTATAACCACACGAAAGCCAAGTTATTCTGTTTATGAAATGGCAAAAACACTAGGGTTCTTAAGGGTAAACGTAGGAAAACGTAGGAAAGTTTTGTTTGGTTTGGGTTATTTGATTACGGCAAAGCGTTTAAGTGAAGGGATGCACCCGTAGAGGGCTTTCTAAGGGAAACTGGATTCTATTCACGTTACACCTAGGGAAAGCCCCGAAAACCCCCATGCACCCAGCCCGTTCACCGGGTTTCAAACTCGGATAGTACTGCTAGTTTTCAGGGATTTTATCGCTCGGCAGCTGGTGGGCTAAACATATGAATTATTTGCTGGGAGAATGCTAGCGGTGTAATATCGATGTCATGGTAGAAAAAGGCTAGCCATAGGTAATTGATGCTTGATGTCAGTATAGAATGCCAGACTAACTAGCAGATTAATCAAAAGACAGTGAAAGTGCATACCACAGCCAGGCACATTACCGAAGCTTTTAAGAGCATCGGCAAGCGCAGAATATAGCACAATGTTCTATTTTTTTTTTTCATTAGATGTGGCGCAGAAAGTATGCCATGATTTAAGTTTTGCTTTGTGTGTGCTCTTGAAAGCTCATCTGCATTTGCTTAATTTAATGGTAAGGTGCAGACTCTCATCTGAATCATGGCAATCCTGCATTCATTTCCGAAGCGATTTCACGTTTTCTCTTGCAACAGCTAGGCTAGGATTCAAGCATGGTTCCTTCCGTACATAGCGTAAGCTTTCCTCCTCAGAACTTTATCGCATGCCGAAAGAATTATGTGTATAATCCAATTCTGGGGAGTATTTAGCATTTGCCTTTTTAGCATCTGCCGAACAGTTCTCACAAAATGCAATGAGCTGTCGTCATCCCCCCACCAACAAAGCTCCAAACCGAAACACAAAAGAAATATGTATATAGATCTGTAAATAACTTATTGTAATTATCCACTGTAATTATTGTATCTGTCCATCCAACTGCAAAGTACCCGTGTAAAGTATATCTGAGACAATATTGTCTGCAATGCAAATTATGCACCATTAGTATATAACTGTGTATTATGAATGCTGCAATGTAAACTAATTCCCGAGCATGGTGTTAGCGTGCTCGGTCAGAGTACACTTGTATAGATGGTTAGTGCAGTGGGGCGATACCAGTTTTGCCCATGGCGATGTTTTGGTGCCTCCTGTACTTCTTTCTATCTGTCTGTCCATATGACGATAGTGTGTCTTGAATTTGGAAAGGCTGCTGTACTTAGTATTCAGTCTGGTTTTTATGGTACATTTGTGAGTAGTATCTAAAGAAAACTGGATGGGGCGATGATCGCTAAGTGACGGAATGTCTGTGATTCTCCGCCTTTTGGTAAGTAGAAATATAACTTTTGAGGCCAAGGTAGCATCGTGAGGGAATTGCCCAGTACATGGGTTGAGTGTCAGTGTGATTGGTAATAACCACTCTACTTACTATCATGTAATCTAAGATAACTAGCGCTCTTGCATTATACTCCGGAGCCAGCCAAATTTTTCTGGTTACACTGAAATCTCCAACGATGGCACTGCATTTGACATCATATGATGATGCATGTTCAAGCTGAGGCAGTGCATCTAAAATATCCCTAGACGGAGGCCGCTAAATTGATTAATATTTGGAAAATCTTCATGGAATAAAAGCCAGTGATATTAGCATGAGCTGTGCAATATTCATGAAGAACTGCTAAAGAAACGTAATTCTCCTGGAATATTTGAGCTTAATTACTCGTTAACGCTTAGCTGAGTTGGAGACTATCTTGAAGAACATATACACTATGTATAGTATTTGTGCAACTAAATGCTGGTCAAACATTTAGTACATTACCGGCATCTTTAGAGCTATAATTCAAAGTTGCAGGTCCAGCATGTTTCAAAACTCATTGTGTGGCAAACTTTGTATGCAGTGCGCCTTTTTTTATTTGAATCCACAGAGTTGGTGTAGTTTGGTGGTTCTATCATACATTTTTCCGCTAGAAGAACTTTACCGCAACTAAAGCCCACTGTTAGAGCTTCACAGTTACGAATGAAGTGCCTCAGACTTGACAAGAAACACCTGGTTTCACGATGATATATTCAAAAGGTGCTGGTATTAAAACCCAAACGCTCTCTGTAAGAATATTTAACTTGTTCAAAAAGCTGCTTTTGGCTATCTACTATCCAAGAAATACTCCCTGGGGCAGTAAAAAGAATATTCTTGGAACAAGTTTGAAGAAGAAGAAGCGGAAGGTACAAGACCTAAAAATGCTTGCTGACTATTGTCACCGTAGCTGAGTTAGGCACTCCAAAAACGATAACTGAAGTATTTCGTTGACAAGGCTAAGACTATATTAGAGAAAGAGACTTTTATTTTTTATTTAATTATGGCAAAGCACTCTAGGGCTATTTTCCTAAGGTAGAGATGCCTTCTTGGAGGACTTTCTAAGTGCAACTGGCTCGTATATACGTTACACATGAAAAAAACAGCGAAAACTCCATTGTAGCCAGCCCGTTCGCCGGGATTTAAGCCGCATACCAAACTACTAGTGTTCAGCGTGTTCACCGCTTGGCCCTGTTGGGAATTAGAGAGAGAGCGGAATTATCCTTATAGCATTTCTCAAAGCTTGCAGGTGGTGCATCTCCTTGCATCACACGAGCAGCTCGCTAGATCTGGTTTCGCGAACCTCTTTTACAGAAATGCTTAGTTTTTTAATGTTTAATTCCAGGGAGAGCTGGTCCCTCAGTTGCTATTCTGTGTGCTCGATATTGCTTGGCTTAAGCAATATCACGTGGTAAGACTGTTTCTTGGTAAGGCTTGCCTTTCTATTCTTCCTTTCAATAAGGTTTTTTTTTGTCAGAATTGTATGATGCTGATGTGTGTCTGTAAACGAGACTTCATACATGACGAGACTTCGTCTGAATACTGCGAGGTTCTGCAATGTTCTAACAGAATCCCTTGAGTTGTTCTTAGTTAGTTCTTAGTTGTTAGTTCTACTTAGTTACTAAGTTAGTTCTTAGTTGTTAGTTCATAAAAGCCTTAGAGCACAAGGACATGCTCCTGTAGCTGTGAGTAGTGAAGTACTTATCCAATTATCTATCAGACACGTTTAATTTCTTATTTTCTTTTAAATGGAGTATAAATGAATTAAACTGGTTGCAGAGTTTGTTCAAATTATCGATTTTAGCTACTGACAAGCTTATATTGTCTGCACAGTCTTGAATATGCTTTAAAAGCTACCTTGAATAGAATCAGTGGAATTTGAGCCCTGACTACGAAGTTTACGAGATTTCTTTCGGAAGCTTACAAACTGGCAGAATAATTCCACGGTTGATACTTTATGGTCGGAAAATATCAGTGCTGCCAATGTGAATAACTTCCAAAATGAAATTTCTTTGGTCGCTTCCCTTCGTTTCTTAAAGTGACAAGTTAAATGAAGTCAATAATGAAACTAGGACACCCAATCAGAGTATTGGCAATCATAGCATAAGGACTGGAAATAATGATAAAGGGAAATGACTTTCCTCATCTGGAATTTAGTTTCTCGGACAAGGAAGCATATGAAAATTACCTTATAGTAGACCTGCCTTTGTAGTTGCGAACAATAAAGTGCTTGTTCAGTTATTGTACTACGTGCTGTGGTGATGTGTGTATTAAAGAGTTTTTCCAGACGCCTTTAATTTCTTTTTGTCTTTTTAATGGAGTGTAAATAAATGAAACTGGTCACAAAGCTTATTAAAATTGTCGACATTAGATACTGGCCATATTATTTTGTCTGCACACTCTTAAATAGGCTTGAAAAGTTGTCTTGAATCAGTGAAATATACTTACTGACTACCAAAAATTTACGAGATTCCGTTGGGAAAACTTCAAAGTACGTACAAGCTGGCAGAATAATTCCATAATTGATATTTTATGGGAGTAATGTGTCAGTGTTACTAAAATAATGAGTTCCAACCGCCGATGTGTTATAATGCCAACATTTACCGAAAATTAATCTGGACGATCTGTTGCAGCCTTGTTTCTCTCCATTTATTCCTCTATGCAGTTGCTCTTAGGATCATTTTACATTTTTAATAATCCCCGATGATAGCCGTTTTTTTTTTTAAATTCTTAACGATAACTTAATTCCTTAACCCTCTGGCTGCGGGTGCAATATTCATAAAAGCCTTTAAAAAAATTTCATGCAGTTTTTTCCTGCTAAACTGATCTCAGTTAAAATTCCAGTTTCTGAAAAAGAGATAAAAAAGTTCCCTACGTAAATTCAGGATAAAAGGCGAACGCCCACGTTCCCACATTCTGAGGGTTAATAAAAGCTAAACATAAACTTACATTCCTTCTCTTTCTCAGTTTTTTTTTTTTTTTTTTTTTTTTTTTCAGTATTAAAATGGATTATGCTCTTACATTTTTAAAGCTTAGTGATAGATACTAATCACTTTTTAGATTTATATATATTCATTCCCATAGGCCACAAAATAAAAATTGAGAACTGATTGTCCGAATAAAATGATCAGGCCAAAGAAATTTATATTTTGAATTTACATAGGCGAAAACCAGAAACGCTGAGGTACACAGCCATGTTCATTTATAAAGTATTAATAATTAAATAATTAAAAAATTTAACTGTCCTTAATTTTTACACACATTTTAACAATATGCGTTAAAAGATGCAGATGCGTCATTTTCTCTTGTGAACAGAACAACAATAAGAGTCAGTGTATTCCAATTCATACTTACCTCCTAAGATATGCCAACAATATAAAATTTTATTGAGACATTTAAAGCGTATAGGCCTTAATAGAATTCCGTGGTAATATCAGACGTTTACTATCAAACTGCTACAATCTTAACTCATAAAAAAGCACAGTATATGCATTCTTTTTTTTTTTTTTCTTTTGAAATAATGTAACATAAAAACACTTACAATATTACTTTAGTATATTCTTTTTAATTATTATGTATTCCGAGAGAATACAATGAAAGTATTTTCCAGGTCCGAACTACATTCTATCTCCTAGTTCTCAAGGCCAGAAAGGCTCCGCACCTGTCTACACTTATCGGCCAGGAACCACAACAGTACAGCCACAGAAATCATGGCCTACTCGGGCTCACGATGGCTCAATGGAACAAAAGCAAATGCTCTCAAATCGAAGGGAATCAGCAACACCATCTGAAACTGATATCTTTCAGTTCTAACAATTTTTACATTACGGTTTATGAAATATTACAGTAATTAAAATTCAGCAACATGACATGAAAATAAAGCATAATAATACATCTGCCTAGAAGTAATCTAAACCTTTTTCGATTAAAACACCAAAATTTCCATGTTTATTACTGTAGTAAATATTACTATAGCAAATAAATTTCAGTAAACTTAAAGCAATTAAAGAAAATCTCATTTTAAAAGTGTGTAATACGTAATAAAGTAAAATTCCCATAATGTTATTATCAAAAAGAAGAAATAATATTCAAATATACTTCACCTCTAAATTTTATTTTCTTTTGCATAATAATAGTCATAGGGGAAAATGTAATGCTGTAGTGGATGACAGATTGCTTTAAAGCAATTCCCTCTTGAATCTACTGAATTTAATTAGTACTTTTGAAGATGGGTTAATTAAGGAAACTGCCGCTATCAAATCTTGCTTATACTGAATTTTAATATATATATATATATAACTAATTTTTTTCTGTTGTAACTTAGTTTGTTTGTTTCTTTGACCAAGATTTCCTGTACGAAATTATTATCAACATTAAAAAATATTGAAAATATACATCCTATTAATTATTGCTAAGAATCTGTTTATTTCACACATCGAAACATTTTACAGCTAGCGCAATCACTTCTTTCGACAGCTGATATTTCTAAAGATACTTTATTCAAGTGATCAGAACTACGTAATTCATTCAAGTATATAATAAACTTTAACACAGATATTACTACGCTAAATGCTATTCAGTTGAAACATAACAGTAGCCTCTTATTTTTTAAGTTTTCCTATAAGACATATTTATTGTCCGAGCCTTCTTTCCTTAAAGCCCACTCGAACTATTTTCCCCTTCACATTTAAAGAACTATCTTTCTTTTATTGCACAATCATTCTTTCACAACCAGTTTTTATTATTAGTACAATTAAGATTGCAATGTAAATGATAGCAACTTAAAAATTAGCAAACTGGATCTGTTAGCTTTTCCCTCACATTTAACTGTGTGACAGCCAATTATAATATAATAAAATCTGAATATTTCGCTCGAAATCTTCTTAGCACCCTGCACTTTATTCGTGGATACAGAATCCAAAGGAAGCCCACGTGAACGATCCCACCAGTGTACGGTAAGTCTACTTCTAGCAAAGTGGAAATAATTGATTGATTAAAAGTGACTGTAACGCCCTTAGCGAAAAATTAGGCTAATTATCAAATCTGACTCTGTAATTAAACGAGAGAGAAGAAAGTACATATAAAAGGTTGCATTGCATCATGTGATTACTAAGAATCGACAGTCAGAAATAAACTATTGATCAAAAAATTCGGTTCATTGATTATCAATCGATTACAGATTGCACAACTTTCACACTGTAGAGACATTAGGTATTTTGGAAGCAGACGGGATGAAAAATGAGCAACGGCTTTCCCAGGAATCGAACCACGAATCTCTGGAATAGCGTGCAGACCACCACACCACGAAGGCATGCTAAGAAGACGGGAGAAATACTTTATATACTACCCTGTTTAAAAGGCGACTGGGATTTTAGGTGACCCAATCGCCAAATCATGGGGATGGAGGATCATCATCACCCACCCTTTTATTTTAGGCGCCACTGTAGAGACATTAGGTTAATTGGAAGCAGAAAAAGTGAAAAAGGAGCAACGCCTTCCCCTGGAATCGAACCACGGATCTCTGAAATACGCTCCCAGCCTGCAGACCACCACACCCCCGAAGGCATGCTAAGAAGGCGGGAGAAATACCTTATAACACAAATAGGTGTATAAACAAATTTCCGTAGGTTATCTTTCTGTCATACATGATGAACACTAAGCTAAGTTCAAATTCTTCATCTTGCACTAAGATGTAGATAGACAGAGGCATATCCCGAGATAGTTTAGATACTCAAGTATCCGAATGCCTAGACCCCGAGATACTCGAATATGCCTAGACCTCCCAAATCATCCATGTGGTGCTGCGCTACTACGCTCTTTGGGAAGATATTTATTCTGCAATCTGTTGTGGCATAGCCCACGAAGGCTATTTGATTAATAAGAGGAATGCCTTTGTGGGGACTTTCTTTGGGGAAACGTTCAGTATTCAGGTCACACACTGGTAAAACCGAAGTCAGTCAGAACCCGAGCCGAGCTATGAATGTCTAGCAATAATGTCCACTCGGCCATTGGTGGGCTTTTTGATTATCCCAAGTGTGTTTGAAAACTGTTTTGTTAGTTAATTGCGGACCGTTTAGAAAACAGCTGAGCGTACTGCCTAAACGGTATCTCAAAGGCCCATAAGCATCATCTCTCATAATAATCGTTATACGTGATACATCATTAAAACCCACAAGATGATTTGTATATCCCATATTGTAAATGCGAAACTTTATCGCATTGATGGTTAATGAATTATCCTTGCAGAATTAGACATTTGGGTAGGTATTCAAATCACTCACTGTGTCTTGCAGTACGCTTTTACAATGCTAAGTCTGAACACGGAAGTCATAAAAGAAGCACATGGATGTGATAAACACTGAGCAGCTTCGAGACCATGGAAAACAATTTAACATCTGGAGAAATCTGGAAACCTACTGACTAATCCATAGTTAAGATATAAAATGTTTCATGATTGCATCTTCCTTAAAGGATTCTACAATACTTCCTTTTCAGTCATGTAGGCATTTATAACTGTACTGAAATTATTCGTATTTAACATCTGTTTTTAAGAAGTAACAATGAGTAAAGTTGATACATGTGCCCTCGTGAAGATCCACTTTATCGAATTTTGGTAACCAGAAGCCATGGAGGTCCATTCCCATACTTATAAGAAAAATATCCGAAACCATCTTCATCAACTGAAATAGCTCGTTAAGTATCGCACGAAATAGGAAATCTTTATTTCAGATCTCCAGTTTTTATATGGTTAAATTCTGCTCCTTTATGAAGAAGTCCTATCCCTGCTTTCTTGAAATACGCAAAATTTTTCCATAAACCATTATCAGTATAAGATTAATTTTGTCTAATTATAAAAATTAAATTCCTTTGATTTAGACCAAAAAGGAATATTTTGGAATATAAATGAACTAAAAAAGCTTAATTTAGAGTTATAAAGCTACTGAAAATAAATCTCCACCATGTTAAAATGGTGGCATAAAGTTTTTTTTCAAAATTCTCTCAGAGTTGCTATATGCTTGCAACACATATAGATTTTGGTTACATGCATCCAAAAATTTTAAAATTAAAGAAAAAAATTCTTAATAATTTTCGAATTAAATCTTAGGTGAAAAAGGATACAAAATTCTAAAAATTATAAAATATTTTTAAATTAGGATGCTTCATAAAAATTATCAAAAAGTTCTTAACATGCATTTGCAGGTGAGCAAACCTTAATGAAGTTTTGAAAATGTAGTAAAAATGACAGAAAAGTATGATAAAAGTCACTTGGTTTTATAAAAGCAACATATTCAGTATGAGCTCCAGTGATTTCAATCATTTTTCAAATTTTTTTTTTCTCAAACTGCTTATTATCTGCGTATTATCCACACTATTATGACTATATTTTAGAAGGATCCGTTTAACGGATTTCGGCACCCCATGCAAGTCGGACCATGTGAGCCCCAACAAAGTCTCCTTTAAAGGTATACTTTCTTATGGGTTGGTCAGGTTATTACATTATTTATTACCACTAATAATTTTGTTTCGAAAAGAGAAATTATAGTTATTTAGTATGTAACCTTTTTTGAATAATAACAATTTTCAGAATAATGTAATTTTTAGAGCCAAATAGAATACAATTGTAAAATGTTAAAAATCTGTAATACAATATTTATATAATATTAACAAAATGTGGAATATTTTCAGTAAAACAAATCTTAAAAGTTCAGTATGTCTCCACTAATTTCCAAATTGCAATACATTTAGCACTTTCAATATGTAGAATTTTAAAACTTATGAAAAAATGCGAATACTCCAATATATTATATTATTTAGAGGACGGTCATCCCATTTCTTTCTTTATTTTTTAATAGTGTGCTATTCACGTATATCTAAATGTTATGAATACATCAGATTTTTATTTCTTTTCATAAGTTTTGTCTTTTATACTATTTTTTATATAAAATAACATAGTTTTTTCCCTTGATTTCTTTTCCTTTTAGATTATTTTGTTTTTTATATTATTCATAGAATTTTTCTCATTTCTAGATTTCAAAGCAGCAAAAGTTTTAGTTCACTTGTCAATGTCCAATGAATGTGCAATCTGCCTTTCTGTTGTTATTAATGAAACACATCTTAATCTTTCATCTTATTTTATTTATTTTCATCTTATTTACTTCGTTTTTTTTTTTTTTTTTTTTTTTTTTTTTTTTTAAACTTTAGGTTTGAAAACATGTGTTCCTTTTAGGCTATAGTTATAAATAAATTCTCACAGAAACTGATACATTTAGGAAAATGTCTTCCGACATCTTTTCGTGCATGTACTAAATTATTCTGCACTCAGCTATAGGGAATTCGGGGTAACGTAAGGGATATAACGTCTAATTCAGCAGCAAGACCTGATACACTTATACTATTTCCTGAGTTTTGTTTCAGAAAACTTAAAGCTTCTGAAAGCATCTTACAACTGCTATTTAGATCTTCCTTATTTTGGGGGAAATTCTTAATGTCACAGATAATACTGAACACTTATTAGAGAGTTCAAACAACAGGAATCAGCGGCGATTTTATAAATTTGCAGTACTAGTTTCGAAGACTTGACTACAGAACCTATTTCTGTAGCAGCAGAGGTTCTGTAGTCAACGTATGATAAAAGTCATACTACATAAATCAAGCCTTCGAAACTTAATGCGACAAATTTATAAAATTTACTGCTGATTTCTGTTGTTTGAACGCTTTAATAATTGCTATTCGCCGTGTTATTTTTACTTTAACACTGAACACATCAGAGCACTATAACTATTCATATTAACTTTTCATATCTTTCTTTCCTGAATATAACAGCAGTGTCACTTAGAACACCGAAGAAATTTACTAGATATAGATTTTCTATCCCTAAAATAAGTTCATGTCTCCCTTAAAAAACTGCCTTTTTCTAAGTTCTGTTTCCGCTGCCACTGATGTGAACAACATTTCCTAAAAATAAAGACAATCCCCTTGCTTCTTTTTCAATTTTAGTTTTTCTATATCAATTTTCTCGGCCTTCAACTGCAAATAGTTCGGCATTTATAAATTTATACTTAACTTAAGTGCAATACTTAAGTGCATGCCTTCTTGTTCAATTGCTTTTTTTAAACTTTATTGACATGAATAATGTTGTACCAAGTCACAAGACAACGATAAAAATTTTAATGATGGGATCCCTTTTAGCAGACTGTGTGCTCATTAAAACAGGTGTGTGTCCCCTAAAATTTTTTTAGCTCTTCTAAAGAACATATTACATTCTTAAATTCATGCTTAATATCTTTAACAATTTCATTTCTCGCCTTCCATATGGTTTCATAAAGTGGTTTCAGCGTTAAGTAAACATGCGCAGTTAGAATTTTCCGGCTTTCACAGGTAATAAAATCTTTGC